CATTGGCTCGTTTAGTTTACACTCAAAGTAGATTGGTCTCTCTAAGCGAGACCCCAATTCGTCGGTCATCCGACATGACGTCTCCGTTCCCTCCTTCAGGGAACGAGGGTTACCATACGTAACCGAGACGATACACCTGTAAATATAATTGGGTTATTTATGTGCCAGTGTAATAGTGATTTCTTTGGCCATGTTTGTGTGTAATAAAACAAGTGCTGATATAGCAAACCAAAACAGTCTTTAACATAATATAAAAAATTATTATTAAAATAAAAAATTTATTAAAAGTTCTGACTGTGACAAAAACTTTAGTGGGTTTTTACAAATATTAAAATAAGTAATAAATAAAATTTTATGGTTTTTGTATGTGAAAGACATATCTCACACAGGCATGAAAACCATCAAAGAAAAGATCTTACTTAAGTTTCTGCAGTTTACAGTGAGAAACCTTAAGTCCATCAGATAGACGCTCAATGCCCACATTTTGTAGTTTATTCCCAGACAGATCCAGTTCTCTCAGATGTGAGGGGTTTGACTTCAGAGCTGAAGCCAGAACAGCACAACCTTTATCTGTGATATTACAGTCATCCAAACTGTAAAGAAATTGAAAACTTAAGTAAAAAGTTACCAGTTTTTTTAAAAAAACTTAAAAATGCCTCTTGCTGTGATGCAAAAATTGTATTTTACAGAACAACAGTAATATTAACAGTAAAAAGTTTCTTTGATTTTAAATGTTAAACCAGCTTTATGGTATCAAATATCAAAATATGGCACGAAAACTATGAAAATATTAGAGGTTATAGGTTATGCCACTATGCACCTCTCAAGTCACTGCAAACAGGATCAGTACTAACAGAAATTCATAGATCATCCAGAATTATCTGTAAAATGTTGTAATTGTGTAGTGATCATCTGTGTCACTTACTTTGCTGATCTGGATTCTTTAATCACAGGAAGCAACTTCTGAAGAACTTTATCTGAAATATTTTTATTTCCAATAAATGTATTCAGCTCAAACACATCCATTACTTGCTCTGATGTCAACAATTCAAACAGTAAAGATGACCAGTTTTACTCTGTAGTGTCTTATCCACAGCTCTCTGATGCAACTCAGATAATGAAACATGTTCTGATGAATTATGAAAACAAACTAAAACCTTTACCAGTTTTCTCTTTTTGGTGATTTGGTCAAACACATTTATATTGTGGTTTGTACAAGAGAGGTGCACATATAGAGCAGCTAGATGTTCCTGAACGCTCAGATGAACAAAGCAGAAGACTTTCCCCTGATACAAGCCAAACTCCTCTCTGAAGATCTGAGTGCACAATCCTGAGTACACTGATGCTTCTGTCACATCAATGCCACACTCTCTCAGGTCTTCCTCATAGAAGATCATATTGCCTCTATCCAGTTGCTCATATGCCAGTTTCCCTAATTTGAAAACCATTTCTTTGTCTGTGTCCTTCTTCTCATTGTACTTTGTGTATTTAATGTTAATCTGTGCCGTCAGGAAGTGTGTGTACATTTGAGTGAGAGTCTTGGGAATCTCTCCACTCTCTGCTCGACTCAACATCTTCTCCAGAACAGCGGCTGAGATCCAGCAGAACACTGGGATGTGGCACATGATGAAGAGGCTCCTTGATGACTTCAGGTGTGAGATGATTGTATTAGCCAGACTCAGATCACTAATTCTCTTCCTGAAGTATTCCTCCTGCTGTGGGTTCTTGAAACCTCGTACCTCTGTCACTGACACTCGTCCAGACCATCAAAGATGAACAACACTTTATATTCATCACTGGATATCTCCATTTCTTTAGTTTCAGGGAAAAAGACATGAAGAAGTTCTGAAAGACTGAGTGTTTTGTCCTTCATCAGATTGAGCTCTCTGAAAGGAAGTGGAAATATGAG